TGGGGAGGACGCACAGTTGATTCTGTGGTGGACAACTGCGAGAAGGAAAAGAATGTTCTGAGAAGATGCTCGGGACAGATGGTGATGATGGTCCAGAGGTTCAGAATGCAGGGCGGCAGTTTCCGGGAGTGGGGAGGAGGTTGAGATTGGGTCCATCGGAGGGAAAATGTGGGGCACATTGGAGGCAGAGCTGGGTGGACGGACTGTCCCAGGAGTGTTGGGTTTCTTTTCTGAGCATGCAGGACCAGGGGGCAGGTTTTCCTGCTGCTTTCTGAGGGGCATGGAAGGGAAGGGGTGGCCTGCATGTTGGAGAAGCAGAGCTCCGTGAGGCTAGGGACCAGTGCCTGCCAAGGATGCCTTCTGTCCAGGGGTGGCGGACTGCCTAGGGCTCAGCGCACATGGCGAATCTAAATGAAGGCGAAGGTCAGAGTGGGCCGGTGAGAACTCTCCAGTTGCAAAGGAGTCAGTTTCAAATCAACGTTCTCCACTTTGGTCACAGAAATTAGATTTCTGCGATCCACCAGAGCTCCGTTTGTAATGCAGGCACCGCGTGTGGGAGCCAGGATCTTCTCCTCCCATCCTATTGCACCTTTCCCTGTAAGACACCCTTCATGAGAGCGAGGCCGTCAGTGGGGAAGTTACTGATGGAGCAACGGAAAGCTCCCACTATTTTACTTGGAAAAATCTTTTCATAAAATTAGCTTCATTCCCCGATTTTTGAAGTTAAAAAGAAATAATTTAGGTACCTGAGAGTCTTTGATTCTCCCCGATTTCTGCCAAAAAAAAAAAAAAAAATTCCTCATTGTCTATCACTGCCATGGCCCCCAAGTGGCTTGAAGAGCAGAAAGTTCTGATGAAACACTGGCCATGCCCAGGAAGCTCAAAGTCTCCATCCTTTCTCTGACCCTTGGAGAGAAAGTGTATTCTCTCTTGCATTTCCCTGCCTCTGAAACCACCCTCCCAGAGGCCTCTTCCCACAGTCATTAGCACTGAAATCTGTGGCTTTCCCTTCCACTAGCCTCACTACAGCTGTGGGACCTGCCTTTGTGTTCTAAGGTGTTTTTCTGACTTTGCCAGGCACAGAGATTGTCTCCCAGCAGGCGGTTGCCTACGCTTCCAACATGGCCATGGCTTTAGGTATGTGATCTAGTTCAGGTGGGAGACGCCAAATTCTGGGGTTTTGTGAGAAGTTTTCATGAGAGGAATGTGAAGGAATCATGGGACAACAAAACTTTATAAGGTGAATGGGAAAAAGGAAAAAACCCTATCCCGATTTGTGCAGTTCTACTTTTTGTTATTTTTGTTTTTGTTTGCAATGTTAGGTATGGTTGCATTGTGTCCAGGGCCTTTGCACTGAGCTGTACCCCCAGCTTGCCCACCTGCCATCTTTCCCCCCCTCCTTCCTCTCCTTCCTCCTTCCCTTCTTCCTCCTTTCTTTCCTCAGGGTCTCACTAAGTTGCTAAATGGCCCAGGCTGGGCTCAAACTTCCCATCCTCCTGCCTCAGCCTCCCAGAATGCTGGGATTCCAGGCATGTACTGCTGCCCCCAGGTCCTTTCTTAATCTTTTGAGTGGTGGCATCAATTGAATGTGAAAGCAAGGAAGATTGAAAGGAGACTCTCCGTGAGCTGAGCACTCTTTGCTGTTTCTGTTCCTTTCCCTGCTCAACCAACGGTGGCAGAACCCAAGCTCTGTTCTTTTTGTTGCCCTTCCTCTCATGACTGATCCCTTCCCCCCTCAGACCCTGATCCTGTTTCCACCTTCTGAGCTCATCTTTGCAGCTGATTAAATCCAGGCAGGAAAGCCAACAGGCCTGTGGAGCTGGTGCTGCCTGGGTTTGAGCAGGAGCCTGTCGGAGCCCTTTCCAGAGCAGTATTTCCAAGATGTCAGTCATTGCTTCTTAGAGCATGCTTTGCAATGCATACTGATAGTTGCGTTCATTACGGGGAGTCAGTTGCATGTATGTAGCATTTCTAGATCACTTCCTCTCCTTCTGTCCCCTCTCCCTTCTCCGTCTTGCTCCCTGTCCATCTCCAACAATTCTGCCTTCTTTATGTTGTAGATTTCTCATGTAGGAGGAACCATAAGATACTTACCTTTCTGTGTCTGACTTGCTTCACATAACTGAGGGTCTCACGTTTTATCCATTTTCTTGCAAATGAAAGGATTTCATTCTGCATTTTAGTGTGGAGTTCGGAGATTGGAACCGGATTCGGATAGGCTGAGAATTCGAATTGAAGCTGAAGAACTTAACAGTACAGGCCACTTTTTTTTGTTGTTGTTGAGAAGTTTGGTTCTGAAAGGAGGTAGGAACTGGGAAGGGAAGGAGCTTCTGAGGAGAGTAAATTTGCAGATGCAGGACTGGGACCTGAATACAGGCCAGTGGGGACAGAGGGGCGGCCGGGCCAGGAGAGGGCCTAGCCTCCGTGTCAGAGAGGGTTAGAGGAGCGCTACTGTGAACGACTTTAGTGGGCCCTGATGTGCCCTATTCATGATGGGAAGATCGGTCTTGCCCAAGGACCCATCACTTCTGAAGGTGGGTCTGTGACGAGTCCCGGGTCTGTCCGACTGCAAAGGTGGCTGCTTTGCTGCGTAACCCACTGCTGTGCAGTGTGAACTTACTCCCATAGTTGCTCACACCGTGCCAGCTTCTAGAGAATATCGTTCATTGAGTCACATCTGAAGTTCTGGTAGATATTTGGGGTCAGCATCTATCGTACTCTCTGATCAAGAACATACCACATTGTGTTAGGATGTTTTGAAAGGTGCAATAATCCACTCTAACTGAACGCTCAAGCAGCTGTCTACTGAGTTCTTTTTATTGGATAACTATAATATTCTAAAGTGTCCTCTACATAGAAACTGACAGCTCACAGTTCCAACATTTTATAGAGGCCTTCTTGAGTCTGGAGGCAGATGATGTTGCATCGGGAAAAGCTATGAGAAAAATATTCGGTATCAGATGCTGTTTATAATTTAATTGCTGCCTGTTTCCAGTCTGAGTTGAACGCTGAAAGCCATGCTCTTTTCACAGCCACAAAATGCATTTCAGTGTGCAGAAAATAACATCCTGCTCTGGGGTTTCCTCAGCTAATCACAAGGAGAAGAATCCATTGAAACTGTATTGTCTGTTGATAAACATTCTGTGCATTGTTGCAGCCAGCTCTAATTAGATTTATTTTTAAACTTGGATTCTTAAATTGTACTAACAGCAAACAGTAGAAATGAGATGATTATTCTAATACAGAAAACATGAACACACCAAAAGTGCCAGTCCTGCCTTGCTCGGCTTCCTTGTGCTCCAGCCCTGTGTGGGGCGACACCGGGTCCTGGGAGCTTGGCAAAATGCTTCTGGACAAGTTGGATGCTGTGCTAAATGCATAGTGCAAAGTATTTTAAGATCAGGTCCTTCGAGTAACAGGACAAAGCAAACCAAATCTGAAGTAAACAGGGTGCAGACCGGGCCAGTTATATTACTAAACATACTTCCAACTTTTCTTTCCTGTTTATTTTTGTTTCTACTAAAAAAGAAAAGTTGATATGGTGACAATAAGGCGAGTTTTCCACCTTAGTGATGTATTATTCTCACTTTTTTTTTTCTTGGTGATCCTGGGGATTGAACCCAGGGGCTTTTCAATGAGCTACACCCCCAGCCCCTGTTTTGTTTTTATTTTGAGGCAGGGTCTCACTAAGTCTTCCTGGTGGGGCTCAAGCTTGTCGTTTTCCTGCCTCAACCTCCCAGAAAGCTGAGATTACAGGCCTGCACCACTATGGCCAGCTCTTCTCACTTTCTCACTGGTATTTTGTGCTGAAACATGAAACAGGTTTGCCCCAGGCCCAAGCAGACATGAGGAGGGGTGGGCACTATTTGATCCTGTCTGTGTTCCTGGTGCCTGGCACAAAATGGAGCCTCCATGGATGGTCCTAGCGTGGGACTCAATACCTAGAGTCTCTGCTTTGGTCCTTCACGTTATTTAAGCCCTTAGTTTAAGTAGCAGCTACCAGGAGCTTGGCAGAGGTCAGCTGTGTGCAAAGTGAATCAGGATTGCTTGAGTACCCGGGGGTTAGAGTTCCTTGCTCTTTTCGTTAAAGAAGCGCACTGAGGATTAACAAGAAAGTCTTATCTCCCCAGAGTTTGCCACTGGAACTCTGGGAATGGAAATACCCTGCCTTCCTGGGAGTCCCACAGTGGCAGCGACCACCTGCTTATTTTCTTGGACTTGGGTCTTAGGAACGGGGTGGCGGGTGTGATTTAAGGAAATAAGATACTGGATGGTGTTAGGTGGTCCCGACTACCTTTTAGAACACTCACCTCTCTGAGAGAGTCGTCTTGCTATTAAATGCCCATGAATCCAGCAGGCGTGATAAGGAAAGGAGCTCTCTTATCATCATGCCAAGTATGTTTAGTAACAGCCCTTAACATTAGACTCATTTCACATAATTTGTTACTCTCCTTCTAGGTATCTGACATCTCTCCGGAAGTGTTGGCCCAAATATATTGTCTTGGTTTCACTGGCTTCTTATGAAATGTATCTTTAAAGATAAAATGAAATTCTCCGTAGCGGAGTATTCCTGTTGGAGGATAATAAACTGCCCTTTGGAGGGAGTGTGGTGCATTTTTCCCTGCAACCACAAGAGTGATTGAATGTTGATCCGCCCCTCTAGCGAGCACTCCCCACTTTGCTAGTGAAAAGGGTGGATTTCACACCCTTTTAGCCTGAGTCACCCTGCAGATTCTAACATCAGACTTTGTTTTTTGTTTTGGGGGCTTTTTTTTTTTTTTTTTTGGTACCAGGGATGGAACTCAGGCCCTTGCACTTTCAAGGCAGGCGGCGGAACCACTGAGCTAAATCCCCGGCTCTTCTATCAGACTTATTCACAGCTCTTCACTAATGAGGGTGTACGGTGACCAGCTAGGGTCAGCGGTGTGTTTTTCAAAGAACTCGTCTTGGAGCAGGAATGAATGCAGCTGCAGCTCATCGTGGTTATTTTTTCCCAACAGGTTCTTAGCATGATCATCAATGCAGCCTACAAGCCCGGTAGGGTATTGAGAGAGCTGCAACTGGTGGAAGATCCATACTGGAATTTCCAGGAAGAGACACTGAAGGCAAAGTAAGTGTGTCCAATCCTGGGACACAGGAGTTCTGATGATATCTCACCTGTCCTTTTGAAACTTGTCATCCCTGGTTCTGACATAGCCCAGAGAAGTGAAGAGAGATGGAAAGGCCACTGCTCTGCAGTTCTGTGTCCTGCATACAGACTCTCTGGCAGCTTTGCTAAACGGTTGCCCTGAGCCTTTGAATCCCTACTGTAAAATAAAGATTTGCTCAGCAACACTCTTTCATAATAGACATTCAGATTATAACCTTACTGTGTTTCTCAGCCGATAGATGGTTTATTTGCATGGAGAAAACGTGATAAGGAAAGGATCTCTCTTATCATCATGCCAAGTATGTTTAATAACAGCCCTTAATATTTGATAATGTCGGCTGGGCCTGGTGGCCTATGCCTGCAACCTCAGCTCTTTGGGAAGCTGAGGCAGAAAGATCACAAGTTTGAGTCCCCCTGGGCAACTTAGTTGAGACCCTGTCTCAGAAAACAAACAAACAAACAGAACTTTAAGGGCCTGGGGCTGTAGCTCAGTGCAAAAGCTCTGGGTCCACTCCTCAATACCACTAAAACAATGGTATGTAAGAAGAGTAATGTATTTTGCCAAATACAAAGGTTCTCTGTTCTGGGATTTGAGAGTTTTAAAAGATAAAAGGAAACTATATATCTGTTTGGTTGGAATTGTGAATAAAAGACATTGGGCTCTGGCTTGACATAGCTAGCATCCAGTAACTTTCTTCTTTTATTTTTAAAATAGGCTAACTGGAAAGTTGAAAATATTTTTGCTTTAAGTTTTTTGACCTCTGCAAAACAGGAACTGTAATCAATATGGTAGAACTTGGCTGTTGAAGAGATACATAGGGAAGGATCTGTTTCTCAAACATGTTAAATCATTACTTGTTGTTCGGAAGGGCTTTCTTTCCATGTTCATTTATGGTTTTCCAATAGGAAAGGTGTTGCTGGTTGACTTTTTGTTTTAGGGGGGCGTACCAGGGATTGCACTCAGGACCTCGTGCTTGCAAGGCAGGCGTGGCACCCCTGAGCTAAATCCCCAGCTGACTTCTTTTATATTAGTGTCTTAGATTATCATTTCTACATAACATTTAGGAGGTGGTGTGCTTTTTGTTTGTTTTTGTTTTGTTGAGACAGGGTCTTGCTATGTGGTTCAGGCTGTTCTTGAACTCACTTTTTAGCCCAGGCTTGCCTCGAATTCAATGTGATCCTCCTGCCTCAGCCTCCCAAGTGCCAGATTACAGGTGTGCGCCACCATGCCCAGCTAAAGTGGTGCTTTTTAATTCACGGCCGGAGTGTATCTGAAGTTTTCCTTAAAGAATGCACCAGTCCTGTTCATACTGAAAATCAGGGGAACTCTTAATGACCAGTAGCTTTTTCCAGTGTGGTTGGTTGACTCCTCCTGGTATCAAGTGGAGACAGTTGTCGCGCGCACCTCGCCAGCAAGGAGCACGCAACACTCAGGATTCTTCTGATGCACGCTTTATTGGAGTTTCTTCTACATTCTTCAAAATGGCAGAAAGACCCCGAGCCGGATGCGAGCCTGCCTTTTATAGCCTCTCGGGTGGCGAGGCCCATTTCTATTGGTCAATGCCGGCCTGCATCATTCTGACGAACCAAGTGCCTCATCTGCGCAGGCGTGAACCACCGTCACCGGCGGACTCATATCCGGAATTCATGCAGGGCATGAAGAACCCGGAAATAATGGCGCGTGACAGACAGTGAGACATCAGGCTGCTACTAGACATCATTCATCTTGAGTAACCCATGCAGTGATCCTGATATCTTTCTATAGCAGCTCTGCACTTCTAGATTCTGTGAAAGTCATTTCAAGTCTGATGATATTCTGCAGAATCACAGACGGAGAATTCATAAATAAAGAGCTGATTTTTTGTATATAGTATTTAGTAGCACTAAAAGGTGTTCCTACATATTATCATTCCCTTCGTTCTCAAGGAGTACTTAAACGAGCCTCCTGTGTAGCGCAGGAACAAAAGCAAAAACACCTGTTTTCCTGTCTAATATTCCATACCTGTCTCACTTAAGGGAGAGATCATCAGCTGTAGTCGAGTGTTTTCTTCTAAGGCTTTGTTGGCAGCGGTGGCAGAAATCTTGAATGAGAGTTGATACGGACAAGCCCTTCTTAGTTTAAAACTTTCTAGTTCAGTTCGGTAGAGCCCAGATATACCTAAGAGATGCGGAAACAGTGAAAAGACCGAAATCTTAAATCCCATTAAAAGCTCTCCTCCTAAATCAGCAAGTAACTTGCTCCAGATACCAGAATGACGGAGAGAGAGTTCATTTTGTCAGTGTTTGCACTTATTGTCATGTTACCAGGTCGATCAGAGTTTTATTAAATCCAGCCTGATACAATGAAAACAGACACAATGAAATCCAGCCCTGCTGAATTGTAAAGGCAACATATTGCCTGTGATATCAGAGATGACAGGATGTTCTGAGGCAAAGTCTTACACAGCAACTTATAATGAGGCGACGTCTGTCTGCACAGGGTTTCAGCTGTGCTAGATCACAGGTAGCAGCTCCGAGCAGCCGCTAATGATGACAGGTTGACAGTGAGCAGGAGCCTTCCCATGACAGTCCTGGGCGTTGAGTCACCTCTTTCCCTCTGATGGAAAGGAGACGACTTTTTAGATGATGACAACTTTGCTATTTTCTTGGGTGTAAATGGGAGGCAACGGAACTGTCTTCTTCCCATTTACTGAAAGGTAGAAATACTTTTGTTCATGAATAAATTAACAGAGTAAGGGGATAATAAATTAACATTAAGGGCATAAAGTGGCCTTGGCTGTTGTGGGAGCTGAGTTGTGTCTTCAGGAAATGAAGGCCTTGAGATTGTCCACGGGGAAGTGGGGTTGGTCTCACCCACCGAATTGTTTTCTAAAGAATAAAGACCCATGGGCTGGGGATTTAGCTCAGTGGTGCTGCACCTGCCTCGAAAGCGCAAGGTTCTGAGTTCGATCCCCTGTACCGCAAAAATAAATAAGCAAGCAAACAAATAAATAAAGAATAAAGACCCATTTACTTTTCAGATTAAAGGTGCCTTTGAAAAGGTTTTGATTGGTAAATATAATAAAACTAACATGATCATTTAAGTTGTCCCAATGACGATACCTTTCACACTACTAGGGAAATCATTGCAATATTTGAACAACAGGTAAGGTTGTATCATGTCATCTGTCCTCAATACGTATCAAAAAACAAAGATGTCCTAACTAGTGCAAAGAAAAGGTGGATTCTAATGTTGTTCGTTTAAGTTTTTCTCTCTGATGACTTCAGGTATTCTAAATTGACCTACATTATCTTAAATTTCTGGAGAAGGAATTTATGTTGTCCCATAGAGAAATTTTAAAAAGTCCAACTCTGCACCTAGAGGCATTTAAATATGTTTGTCAAGGGCTGGGGATTTAGCTTAGTGGTTCTGCTGCCTGTAAGGTCCCAAGTTCTATCCCCAGTAGCAAAAAAAAAAAAAAATGTTTGTCAAGTGTGTTATAAAATCTTCATGGAGGAAAAGAATGTTAGCCCATCTTTGAACAGCTTTCGTGTTCACCATGAAGGCCAGGTGACGGTCTAACGGATTTCCCAGTCCTTTGTTTCGGGTACTCAGAATACCTAACCTCAAAGCAATTAGACTTCGGTATCAGTTAGGTGGAGACAGGGAGATAAAATCAGATACACATCCTTTTAGGTAAGACTCGCTGAGCTCTCTGGAAATATTTTGGTTTCTTTTTAATGAGCAATGGCTAATTTTGTATGTGCTTTTGTTTACTCTGCCCACCGCTTTTTTTTCTTTTTTTAAATGTTGAGACGGGGTCTTGTTAAGTTGCTCAGTTGCCCAAGCTGGGCTTGAACTCGCGATCCGATCCTCCTGCTCGAGTGCTGGGGTCACAGGTTCACATCACCATGCCCGGTAGCTGCTTCCTCACTTCTTTGCATTTTGTTTGTTTGGTTTTTGGTTTGCTTTGGTTTGGTTTCATTTTTGTCTTTTGCTCAAGCCCATATTTTTGGAACAATACGATGTAATATTTGGCTATAAGTGATTAATATGGAAAAGGATTTCCAATGGAGAGATCTTTGCTGAGACAGATTTTGCGTGTTCCTTTGTCTGCCTTGCTCGGATGAGTGGGATTCGCTGTCCTGAAAGGGGTGCAGCAGACTTGAGCAAGCAGGTGGGCCAACCTGATGGGGGAGAGAACGCCATTTCTCTTTGCGCTTAAATTCGTCACGGGATGGTGTGGAGTCCCTGGTTGAAAGGCAGAGCAGTTTAGAACGCTCCAGAGAAGTGGTGTCTCTCCTAAGGTAAACACAATAGTTTGTTTATTGTGCATAGTTCCTCTTGAAACAAAGGAAGTAAAAGGAAAGAGAGAGATTTCAGAGTCATTAAGTGTCATGAGACCGATGGGCAGTGAGCTGTTATACCACCCTTAGAGTAGGGTGATGATGAAGATGAGACCAATGAAGTAAAAGCTTTCTTTTGAAGAAAGATCTAAACATGTCTTCCTGGCTCTGCTATGAAAAATGTTTTCCTTGCAGCGAGCAGAGCTTTCCTGTTTGCATGAGGTCATTAGAGTCCCTTGGTTTCTCTTTTACTTCTTCCTCCAGTCTTTGAGGATGTGAACTCAGCTTAAGAATAGGAAATTTGACCCCCCACTCCCTCACCACCGACAGCACCTGATGAGATTTTGCTTCGTGGTCCTGATAGGCATCATTTTGAAGATGAATGATTGCATTTTAGGTCCCATTGATGTTACTCTGTTTGGACTGCTTTTAGTTATGAATGGATCATTAACATTTCTTTTTTGCCTCAGAATCCATTCTGATTTTGTTCTCTCCAATTTTAATCTACTGAAGAAGGGACCAGACTTTCTAGCTCTCCTTTTGTTCCCTTCCTCTGTCTCCTTGTACTTCAGCACTCACACATGGCAGTGAATTCTTTCATTGGTTAGAAGAAAAACATTGAAAGGCCAGGGAGG